AACCCGCATTTTCCTTGACGTAACAAGAGACAGCTGACGCAAATTACAACTTGATGCATGGCATAAGACGTCTGTTTCACATTTGCGACCTAAAAATAATAATATTTGTATCGTTAAACGAAAAAAACTCGCATTATTTAAACAGTTTTGGTATATTTCTAGTATTCTATGATACTATTATAAGATTTTATATTTTATATGTAGATATTTATCCCCACATATATTTTTATTTTATTTTAAAATTGATTACTTGAAATTATTATGATTTTAAATATCAAAAGAACGTGTATATTATCTTCAAACTATTTCTATTTTTCATTAGTTTATTTTATACTTACGAATATATAGGGTGTTTTTTTATAAAGCATAATTACTTTTAAAAAAGGTAAGTTATAGTATTCAAATATATACATAACTAGCATTTCAGAATTAATGGTTATTTAGTTTTTAAACATCAAAATGTTTTTACAATATGTAAAATTTTTATCTAATATTTATATAATATAAAATAAATATTGTGAAATATATTATTTATGTAGTAGATAAAAATCTTCGTATTTCAAAACATTTTGATGTTTTAAAACTAAAAATGGCCATTATTTAAATATATAAACACACTTTTTATACTTTGTTATTTTTTAAAAATCAAAACAATTATCTCTCCCTCTCATAAGTATTTATTTTAAAATATTGTGTAGTCAAAATCTTATTTGTATTTTTTTTTTCAAAAATTATTTTCTTTACAATAATATTCACTAGAATGTTATCGTAATAAAAATACACAATAAAAAAATTGCTTTGAATATACTTACGATGACGTGTGAAATTTTTAAATTAGTATTATCTTTTTCAGTTTCTCGCAGCTTTTTGAGTATGTCCATGTCTTGAATGGAGTCATGCTTCTCTTGAGCTCTTTTATTTAATGATAGTTGCTCTAATTTAATAAGTAAAATAATTTGAGAAATCTCACAGATACTATATATATACAGCTAGTAAAAATTTCACGAAAAATCGCAAAACTAACTGAAAAAGAATAGATGATATAACAATGCGATTTGATAAACATATGGAACCTATGTTCATGTCTAAAAAGACAAAAAAAAAATTTCTACAAAATTATTTTATTTTGAAAAATCAATATGTATGAAATGATAATGTTTGCATGTTCAAGTTAGATATGGTATATATTACCTTCAATATCTGGAATAGGGTTATCGTTAGGACTAACATGACACATTGCTATTTTAGGATTTTCTTAATAATTTCAAAATAAACAAGGTATTTATTTATACTATTTCACGTACGAGAGGAATAACTGAGAGTAAACAATAAATATAAAAATCACAGAGTAAATACAAACTGTTATAATAGTTGTATTCAAACAATCGACGAGCGTGGATCGTATGCTTCATTTTTAATTTGTATTATTTTTTTAAAAATTGGTAAAAAAAAACTTCTTTGCATATTAACATAAAAATATATATAAATAATAAATATACAAAATAGACTAATATTTATCACATAGAATATTTTATTTTATAAATATAAATAATATAAAATCTCTCTGTTGTTGATAATGTTGCCTTTGCTTAGACTTTTTAAAGAAACAGATTCAAAGATTATTAATCAAACATTATAGATTTACAAGAGAGAGAACAAAATATAACAAAGTAAACAAAGTGAAACTTATCTTCTTACGGTTAGCTCCTATTTACTTGCGATCTCACACACATACTCTGTGAACAATTAATTATATATAATTAAATTTAAAATATATATACAGCACGATAACGCTGTGACTTGTAAAAATGGAAAGTTCTAGATGGTTATTTGTTAGTAGATGTAATTAAAAATCAATATTTTAAGTTTGTATTTTTTTATATAAAAATAAATTATTTGTGAATTTAAAAGGCAAAAGTTTTAAGCATCTACTATAGAGTGACGTGGAAGGGGGTGGACAGACGAATGTAGTGGGTGACATATGACCTTCATGACACACGACTTCACATTCCTCAAGGGAGGGAAAATTAGGGTTTAAAAAAACGACTGTCAATTATTATAACTACCAGATTAGTTTTTTAATAGATAACTTTTTAAAGAGATATTATCTCCTTCAATAAGCCCTTGTATAAACCTTCAATATAAAAACATCCATTTTAGTATAAATTTCAATATAGGAAAATATTTTGTGTAAAATTGGTGGTTTATGGTCAAAATTATTATTTTTATTAAAGATAATATTTTAAGGTGAAAACATCAGGCTTCAATGAATGAGTTTCTTTTTAAAAAAATTAATTCAAATCTCTAGCTATTGGGCATGATAGCTAGAGATTTTAGTTATTTAAAAAAAAAAAATTATCCCTTGAAAAAATAGTACAAATGTGATATTGTACTGGGATAAGTTGCATAAATTATGAAAAAGGGATCTCTTTATCGTGTAACTGAAAGTTGCTGATGGCTTGCGCCATCTATCGGAATAAATATCAACTATTCTCGTTGATTTTTAATTATTCCAGATGGGTATTTGGCCAATTCTGGAATAATTAAAAACCAACGAGAATAGTTGATATTTATTCCGATAGATGGCGCAAGCCATCAGCAACTTTCATTTGCACGATAAGGAGATGCCTTTTTCATAATTTATCCCTTGAAGCCTGTTGTTTTCACCTTAAAATATTCTCTTTAGTAAAAATAATAGTTTTGACCATAAACCACCAATTTTTACACAAAATATTTTCCTATATTGACAATTATACTAAAATGGATGTTTTTATATTAGCTTTTAAAATTATTGTATTCGGCCATATTGTTGACTGTATCTTATGCTTTTTTTATTTTTCGATATGACATCTGAAATTGTAGTAGATTGTAAATGATTATAGATATAATATTTTTATATTTTTTTAATATATCGTCTTTTTTTGGAATATCGTTATATATTTTTTAATATAGCGCGTCTGAATTGTGTTACTTCTATTTTTTAATATAGCGTCTGTATTTAAGAATTCTCTATAGAAATTAGTAAAATAAAATTAAGAATAATAATAAAAATACTTTTTACTAATTTCTATATAATTACTATATTGACAATTTTACTCAATATAAAGTACTAGCCGAATGACCCGGGCAACGCCCGGGTTTTATCCAATTGAATGCTTTTATTCAAATACTATTCGTTACAATTATAAATTGGCGCCGTGGATGTCATTCTTGTGAAACGTCCCGCTCCAAACTTTGTGTCTGAGAAGCGATATTTTTATAAAGAGATGATCTGGCTTTGTGTCTTCTTCTCGAATGAATGTTTTTCTGTTAGAATTTTGTTCCTGCATACTAAAAATGAACTGGCTTCACCCGTGGTCTCTGCTTTTTGGAATTTTTCCGGATATAATTTTGTATCTGATAATCAAATATGATACAGCAATATTGTCATAATCATTTTCTGACTAAAAAAAAAAAACAACTATTTTTGCCCAGAACCTGTCAAATACTTATAAAAAAATGGCCATATTTGGGTATTTATTCCATTCACAAAAGCAAACGGTGACAGAATTGTTGATTGATTGTTGATTATGACTCTGATACTTGTATATTTTAATTATGGAACACGTCTTTTTTTTATATATAACGTCTTTATTTTATAATATTGTTTGTTTTTCAAAATATATATCGTCTGTTTTATAATATATCGCGTCTGTCATTATAATATGTAGTATACCATTGTTACAATAATACATCGTTTGACAATAAAATATATCGTTTGATTTTGCAGTATATAGCTACCATTTAAAATATCGTCTGTTCTTTTAATTATTTTTCAAAAATTTTAAAACATCTTTATACTATATCGTTTTTGTTTTCTATATAGTCTTACATTAATACTACGATATACGCTATCTAAAATGTTATTGAGAACTTCGAAATACCTCAAAAGTTTTTTTAAAACATATATTAAAAGATATAAAATCGCAAAGCTCTTCTTTAAGTATTTTGTCAAATTACAAAAAATATTGCTGCAAAGTTAATCTGCCTAACAGAATTAAAAGATCCCTCTGAAAATTTTAAACAGAAGAACTGTAAGATTTTATTCGAATAGTGTTATTGCATCAACTTGAACGTAAGTTTTTATTAAGAACTAGACGAATGACCCGGGCAACGCCCGGGTTTACCCGATTAAATGCTTTTATTCAAACACTATTCGTTACAATTATAAATTGGCGCCGTGGATGTCACTCTTGTGAAACGTCCCGCTCCAAACTTTAGTCAGATTAGTTACGATATAAATCTTCAAATCGAGCGACCGTCTATAAATATTTCGATTTAGATCAAGTATTCTAATTATTAAGCGAACTATTATTAATAAAAATTTGAGAAGATTTCGATTTTAAACGTATTTATAACCTTAATAGAGGGCGCTGTTCGTGAGCTAAGTAGAATAATTTGAATATATAGTTTTAATATTTAATTTATATATAATTTAAAATAGCCTATCGTTTTCCTCGTATTTTTTTACCTATGTATGGAAATTTTGGTTTGAATTAGTGAACTACTGCGAATTTGTATACCGGACATACAAACCAACAAACAAACATACAAACATTCATTTTTATATATATAGAAGATATGAAGAAGACTGTAAAGTTATCCCCATCTTTGTAATGCGTGATGCATCATTTTATTATGTGATAATACATACACACAAAATCTTTATTAAGACCACCGGTCTTATACAGATTCATCACAGGAAGAAATAATAGATGGAGCTCCTATACTCCAGATAGCACAGAACCCAACAACAGCCTCCAGGTCCGACACATGTCCAGTGGCCACACGTTCCTTCGTGCATACGTCATGGTTAGCGTATCACTGAACAGGCTAGTGTGGAATCAGCCGTGTTCTAGTCTTCACATTCCTCATCCAAATGGACCACGGCATTATGTGATAATATACCTCAGTGTTATTTATATGTAATTCTACAGTTCTATATAATGTCCACATAACATGCTTAGATAGATTAGGGGCTTGGTGGAAGGATGGTCTAAACCATTGGTTTTCGACCACTACGACCCGGGTTCGATTCCCGCATTGGGCACTTTTTTTCTGTTAAAAAAAGCTCCAATTGCCCCCGATTCTTGCAAAAGTCCAACCCCACCAGCGAGTGCAAGTAACCAAACGGGGCTCTGACACATTTGTAAGTGCAAAGTCGAACTGCTTTTCACATGTGTAGAAATGTGGTGCACTTACAGTAAAAAGCAGTCGCTAACTACCCACCATGATTATCATGGCCTATACCACGTGTACTAGGGATTAAAAAAAAAGATACCATAACTAAGATTCCACCTTATACAGTGTCCCATATATAAACAGAACCTTCGAATACAGTATTAGACCTCTAAAAAGCCTTCTGATGGATTAAATTGGTAGAACTGCTGGTAGGGTTAATCACTGATGAGCTAATCCTTCCCAATAATATCTTTTTCATCGCAGTAAGGATAGTAGAAAGTTTGTTTCATTTGGAAAAAATGTAAAATTGGTGCGCTTAATGGGGTTTTCTATCTTATCCACGGCAAGATATAAGTATAGAAAGAAACAACTGCGTCGCAACAAGAGATAAACTCATAGAGTAAGTGTAATCCCTCTCATTGTTTTTTCATCGAAGTAAGGATAGTGGAAATTTTGTTTCATTTGAAAAAGCAAAATTGGTGCGCTTAATGGGGGTTTCTATCTTATCCACGGCAAGATGTGGGTATAGAAAGAAACAACTGCTTCACAACAAGAGAGAAACTCATAGAGTAAGTGTAATTACCCTCCCCCACCTAAGTTTCTCTATAAATAATCTGGTCCCCCGGGTCTCACAGATAAAAATAGAGATTTAGGGAGGGTCGAGATTTACTTTCGATTTTCGAAATTTTTAGTCGTCTGCTCCTCCCCCACCTTTCCCTTTTTTCACTGATACAAGAGAGGTATTCTTGTGGTTTCTTTTTTTACATGTCCCAAGGTGTACGTTGTATAGTTCAAGGCCGGGTTAATGGTGCTTGGTAGAAAGTTTATGATTACTTGTAATGTCAGTATACTTACAAATAATACTTTTTTCCCTCAGTTTCTCTGTTTTTGAGTAGGTACTGGTCTATTGTGATGTCATACTTCTCTAGCTTCAGTTTATCTGTTCTTGAGCAGACACTGGTCTCCAGTGACCATATACTTCTCTATCTTAAGTTCTTCTATTCATTTCTTCATAGCTTCCCATCCAGTCCATCAGTCCAATTCTTCTTCAGTTTCTCTGTTCTTGTCCTGGTCCCCAGTGACGTCATACTTTTCTATCTTGAGTTCTTCTCTTCATAACTTTCCATCCAGTCCATCAGTCCAATTCTTCTTCTATTTCTCTGTTCTTGAGCAGGCACTGGTCTCTAGTGACATCATACTTCTCTATCTTGAGTTCTTCTCTTTATTTCTTCATAACTTCCCATCCATTACAATTCTTCTTCAGTTTCTCTGTTCTTGAGCAGGCACTGGTCTCTATTGACGTCATACTTCTTTATCTTGAGTACTTCTATTTATTTCTTCATATATTCCCATCCAGTCCATCAGTCCAATTCTTCTTCAGTTTCTCTGTTCTTGTCCTGGTCTCCAGTGACGTCATACTTCTCTATATTGAGTTCTTCTCTTTATTTCTTCATAACTTCCCATCCATTACAATTCTTCTTCAGTTTCTCTATTCTTGAGCAGGCACTGGTCTCTATTGACGTCATACTTCTTTATCTTGAGTTCTTCTATTTATTTATTCATATATTCCCATCCAGTCCATCAGTCCAATTCTTCTTCTATTTCTCTGTTCTTGAGCAGGTCCAGGTCTCTAGTGACGTCATACTTCTCTATCTTGAGTTCTTCTCTTTATTTCTTTATAGCTTCTTATCCAGTCCATCAGTTCAATTCTTCTTCAGTTTCTCTGTTCTTATCTTGGTCTCCAGTGGCGTGATACTTCTCTATATTGAGTTCTTCTCTTCATTTCTTCATAGCTTCCCATCCAGTCCATCAATCCAATTCTTCTTCAGTTTCTCTGTTCTTGTCCTGGTCTCCAGTGTGACGTCATACTTCTCTATCTTGAGTTATTTATTTCTTCATAACTTCCCATCCAGTCCATCAGTCCAATTCTTCTTCAGTTTCTCTGTTCTTGTCCTGGTCTCCAGTGACGTCATACTTCTCTATATTGAGTTCTTCTCTTTATTTCTTCATAACTTCCCATCCATTACAATTCTTCTTCAGTTTCTCTGTTCTTGAGCAGGCACTGGTCTCTATTGACGTCATACTTCTTTATCTTGAGTTCTTCTATTTATTTATTCATATATTCCCATCCAGTCCATCAGTCCAATTCTTCTTCTATTTCTCTGTTCTTGAGCAGGTCCAGGTCGCCAGTGACGTCATACTTCTCAATCTTGAATTCTTCTCTTTATTTCTTCATAGCTTCCTATCCAGTCTATTAGTCCAATTCTTCTTCAGTTTCTCTCTTCTTGTCCTGGTCTCCAGTGACGTCATACTTCTCTATCTTGAGTTCTTCTCTTCATAACTTCCCATCCAGTCTATCAGTCCAATTCTTCTCCGTTTCTCTGTTCTTGAGAAGACCTGGTCTCCAGTGGTTTCATACTTCTCTATCTTGAGTTCTTTATTTCTTCATAACTTCCCATCCAGTCCATCAGTCCAATTCTTCTTCAGTTTCTCTGTTCTTGAGAAGACCTGGTCTCCAGTGGCTTCATACTTCTCTATCTTGAGTTCTTCTATTCATTTCTTCATAGCTTTCCATCCAGTCCATCAGTCCAATTCTTCTTCAGTTTATCTGTTCTTGAGCAGGCACTTGTCTCTAGTGACGTCATACTTCTCTATCTTGAGTTCTTCTATTCATTTCTTCATAGCTTTCCATCCAGTTCATCAGTCCAATTCTTCTTCAGTTTCTCTGTTCTTTTCCTGGTCTCCAGTGACGCCATATATAGTTCTTCATCTTGAATTCCTCTCTTTATAGTTTTTCATCCAGTTCATCAGTCCAATTCTTCTTCAGTTTCTCTGTTCTTTTCCTGGTCTCCAGTGACGCCATATATAGTTCTTCATCTTGAATTCCTCTCTTTATAGTTTTTCATCCAGTCCATCAGTCCAATTCTTCTTCAGTTTCTCTGTTCTTGTCCAGATCTCCAGCGAGGTCATATTTCTCTATCTTGAGTTCTTATCTTTATTTCTTCATAGCTTCCTATCCAGTCCATTATTCCAATTCTTCTTTCTAGCGTTCTCTCTGGTGGTGGTATTTATCCCAAGTACAGGCCATGATAATCATGGTGTGTGGTAGTTAGTAGCGACTGCTTTTACTGTAAGTTTCACCACATTTCTACACACGTAGATAGTAGTTCGATATTTACATTTCAAAGGGTGGTAGAGAATCCCCATTTGGGGTTATTTGAACTCACTGGTGGGGTCTGACTTTTGAAAGAATCGGGGTCCATTATAGCATTTTTTTAAACCAGAAAAAAAGTGTCCTATGCGGGATTTAATCCCGGGTTTTGACTGTCGTGAATCAACAGTACATACCACTCGTCACCGTTCTCTATCATTCCATTTTATACCCTCCCGAACTCTTTCCGTCAACCTACACTCATAGAAAAAACTTAAGGAAATGGAAAGTTTTTGATGTCGCCAGTCGTCTGTTTTTTTTTTTTTTTTGAAGGAGACAGAGAAAATTTTGTTCACACTTGGTTATCTCGTGTGTCTTCAATAAAGGTCACTGTAGTATCTTTCAGAGTTATTGTCTCAATCCCGATATACATGTTAAAAGGTACAACTTCCTTAAGTTTTGTCCATGAGTGTACCTTTCAGAGTTATTGTATGAATCCCGATATACATGCTAAAAGGTACAGCTTCTTTAAGTTTTGTCCATGAGTGTATCTTTCAGAGTTATTGTCTGAATACCGATATACATGGTAAAAGGTATAACTTCCCTAAGTTTTGTTAATGAGTGTATCTTTCAGAGTTATTGTCTGAATCCCGATATACATGCTAAAAGGAACAGCTTAAGTTTTGTCCATGAGTGTATCTTTCAGAGTTATTGTCTGAATCCCGATATACATGCTAAAAGGAACAACTTAAGTTTTGTCCATGAGTGTATTAATTCTTAAAATATGTAGTATCAGGCAATTATAAGATGGATAAATCGTTGTGGCAAATAAGACATTTCTGACTTTGTAGGGTATCCAGGCTGTTACCTAAAAAAATATTTATTTACTTGACTTTTGATATACCTTGTTTACCTCTTTTGATTCTCTAAAAATAAACACATCCCTGCGAATATTAGTAATTACGTTTAACCTTTTTTATTTTTCTACAAAAAAAAGCCATTTCTCTGAACAAACTTTCAAACGCTGACTATATAAGCAGAAAATTAAGGATATATATAATAGTTGAAGTGAGCTGATCAATCAAACTACCGAAACCGCGGAGTGGGTTTAGCAAAGATGAGCCAGGCCATTTCATCATTTTTAGATCTTCTTTTCAAGGTAATTGTAGAAATTTATATATCTTTATCAAATAAATATTATTCTTAAAAAGAGAATTAAAATTAAGTGCAGATTTTAAAAAAATACACTTTCCATATTTGCATATATTGATTCTTTTCAATATGCAAACATAAAAGTTGCATAGTCTTCTTTCTTATCTCCACTCACAATCATATTAAGGTATCAAGCTTGTAGAGCTTGTTGATGGTGTCTGCTGGGAATGAGTAGAGTTCACCAATGGATAAGTCAATACAGCCAATAATGTAGTTTGGGGTTGCAGGTTGAGAATTGCACTTAAGACATAATGGGAAAACCTTGCAACCATTCTGGAAAGTTATTGTCCGTATAGATGAACAAACTTAAGTCTGGAAATTTTGCATAGTAAAACCAAAAGACTGCGAATGTGGGTTATCATAAGAAGATTGATCAAACGACAAGTCCCTCTAGCGGCAAAAGTGAGAAGCAATCAGAGAGAGAGAAATCCCACTGATTTATCAATATGTTGATTGATTGATTGGATAGCTAATCGATAAATGATAGATTGTCGGGACCTTTACAG